CATACTTCATTTTCACTTCTGTGATGCACTTTTTCATGGGGTGAAAGTACAGGATTTGCTCTTTCTAACAAGCCCCAAACCGTTTTTCAAAGTTCATTTTTCGAGAAAATCACACGTTCGAACATTTTTAATAGGTTTTTGAGCAGCACATTATACGAAGAAAAACAAGCTATTTACATAATTATCTTTAATATTAGGTTGGAAAGAAAGTCCTGCAACACTTTTTCAATTTTTGATTTTAATTTTATCTTTTTTGTTTACAACTCCTGACCGGTCTTATATCTACCATGAGTGTCCACCACTTGTCTTCAACGCTCAGAAAATTTCTTGATGCTCCTTTGCCAAAACCCAGCGGAGTGCGGGTCGAGAAAGGAGGCGACCTCACTTTCGAGTTGGAGTTGATCTTTCATCATCAAGATGATGATTTAAGGTCCAGGATAGGTGGCAGTCATTTATAGCTCGACCAGTGGGCTCATTTCGGATCATGGTGATTCGCAATGTCATGAAAGAAATAAATATTGTCGCGGTACGAGGGCTCCTGACGAGCTGCCTCGGCCAGCTTCTGGAGTTCGCAGCCTAGACCTCTACCTACACAATGGTGCCCATAACGAAGAATTTGTAGTGGAGCTTCGTAAGAGCCCTACCTGTAATGGAGTGTGAGGGACGCTGCTGGCTTCTTATAAAAATATCAAAAGATCGAAAGCGCTGGTAAAGGTGAAACACGCTGTAGCGGTGAACGGCATGCCTATTGAAGCTATTGCAGATAGTGTGGTCGTTGACACGAATCCATAGTTATGGAGACATTTGTACTAGACAGTGACTCGGAGTACGGATTTACTAGTGGTCGAGGTTTTTTGAATTTTCTTGGATAACTACTGACTGCAGCACTTATATCCACCTCGTGGATTGAAGCCTCGAGAATGCTCTACCATTTGTTAGTCATAAATGTTACCTATGAATTTTTCAAAAAAAGAAAATTTTAGAAAGAGTGTTGCAGAACTTTCTTTCCAACCTAATATTAGGCTGTCTAGAAAGTATGCGGATTTTGATGTGTTACATTTTATTAGAGACCAGTTTGGTCCCCCGTCAACAGCCGGGACCTCCTTTTCCTGTGTACGCTTTACGTCTTTGAATGACATACCAAAACCTAACCTCACCTTAGGTCTGTTGGTGATTGGTTTTCCGCTTCCCCTCCCCAAACACCCCTCCCCTCCCTCCACTGCCCTCCAGCTGCCACTGCAGCACCATGTGGAATGACCGGAAGTGTGCTCAGTAGGTGTTTATATAGCCGTTGGGGTGTTATCACAATATGCCATTGCAAACACATTGATAGCTCAAAGTCCTGCGAGCTACCCGATTTGTTAGCGGTTTGTTTATTCCATTAGCTCCTTATCACTCACTTCATTTTGCGGACGGACAGACATACATACATACATACAAACCGACACACCAAGTTAGCGCTTTATAAAATCGAAGAACCGGAGAATATTGTTCCAATTGCCATATTGCTGCAGATCTATGGGAAGCTCATTTTATTCTCTTTCTTAACTGCTGTTGAATATCGGAATACTCGGCTTTTTGGCTTCTTCAAAGACGTCAAAGCAGTAGTTGGAGCAAATTTACTGCTATAGGTGGGAATTTGGCGAAGAAGCTGTGCAGTTGGACCAGAATAATGTTGTGGTGTGTGGCCAAGGATCTAATTGCTGTGGGTGTGTGCAAGATCTATCCAAAAACCGACGAATGTGGCGTGGGCTCCAATATTTAAGGTACGGAACTCGAAGTTAAGGTAAGGGGGTCAGGGGCAGGGTCAATCCTACGTTGTTACTAGTAACAACGGGGGGGGGTCGTACCTGGTTGAGTTTATAGGAGGGGGGTCGTATCCGCTTTCAGTCGCGTGAAAGTACATGTGAGTTTGTGGTGAAAGTGGAGTTTTCACGAGTAGTAGGCTAGGTGAGTTGGGAGCGCATGGGAGAAAAATTCGCCGTTTCAGCGCGCGTATATACCCCCGCTCGACGGCATTTTTGGAGGAAAAGTGGGCGGAGTTTGGTGGGTTGAGTGGTACCAGAATTAAATACTATAGAGAGGAATATGGTGGTCGAGGGTGTGGAAAAGGGGTCGTACCAAGTCCACCTTGGGGGAGGGGGGGGGTCGTAAAAAATTTTGAAAAAGGGCAACAACGAGAAGGGCGGACACTGGTTCACGGGCGCCGTGTCTGTCTAGCACATCGACGTGATACAGCGCAAACAGCACGATTTGTAGAAAAGAATCGTCCACCATGACGCTCACCCATATGTGCGTACAAACGATCTCGCAAGAAGAGAACGAATCGGCCTACAATTCAACTCCACTCTAAATGGCATAGAGTCCACCGACTGCCACTTTTCAGGCATCTTGGAAGCTTCTTGGGCAGGTAAAGACCTGAAAAAGATCTATGATAACTGCTATACCCACACCCAAGGTTTCACACCGAAGCCTAGCTTCCCAGTATCACGTCGTGAGTGTTGCGCGAAGGACCTGACACGGATAACTAGCTCAAGCTTTCTTTAAGAAAAAATGAGCTTTGGAGTTGTGCCAGCATTCTTATAAGAACAAATTGTTCCCTACGAAGCAACACTGAATCATTGCGAGGCTGGCCACCATCACTCAGAGGCAGACCGGGTTTTCGATTGGAATTCGGCTATGAACAAGGGTGGTGTAGACATGATGAATTTTGTTTCCAAAAACGTCACGGAAAGGTCTCAAACATTCGACTCCTTTTGGCGTACCTTACGCGCAGCCAGGTCGATCCTACCGTTGGTTCTTTCCGAAAAGCTTTTACGACAACCTTCCAATCAAAAATTTTACACCCTCCCCCCTTCCCCCTCCACTCTCCCCTTCACCACCCTCGAGATCATGGTCGCTACTTTTCATAGTAATTCTGACACCAGTCCACACAGCCAGCCCCACACTATTCCCTCGATCTGATCGTTAAGCAGGGGGATATATACGTACAATGAAACGGTTGTTAAAAACTGCGCGAAAAATACTGCTCAAAACTAAAAACAACAAACACGCGCCCTAACGCCCTGAACTCCCCCAGATAATTGTCCATGTTGTCTCACTCAACACTACGCCCCGCCAGCGAGTACGCCCCCACCTATAAAAACCCCCATATAACTCAACAAAATACGACCCCCTTCCCGCTTGACGGGCGTCGCAACATAGGATTAACCCTGCGCGCAACGTCGGATTGTACATCCAATAATACACAAGTGCCATTTCGCCGTCTAGGACTGTGGAGATTTGCTGCAGAAATGCTGCAATGTTACGACAGAAACCACCACCCTGTTCCGCAAAAAAAATGGTCCTGCAAGCAAATGATTTTGACTCATCCAAGAGGGCTAGTTAGCTAGCCAAAGTTGCAATCAATCTACAAGGGTTTTGCTTCCTATCTCGTATCCATGATTGTTTTGAAACTTCACCTCTTGAGTGTCTGAAACTGTGTCAGATATTAAAAGCTTTATCGAAAAGAAATTTACATATATGTAGATAGGCAACTATTGAGGGATTGTAACAAGCGGTCTGTTTTCTTGCAAAATGCTGCAACTAGTGCTTCGTTACTGCTTATCGGCAAGGATTATTGGTACAGCAAATGCAATCGCGTCCATTCGTTGACGGAAATCCGGAGGCAGCAATCTGGAACAAACAGGAGTGAAGTGCTCTCTATTTACAATCATTTACTCTTTACATTTACTTATAAATGAAAGGCTTGTGGAGCTTACAGTGAGTAAGACCGCCAGCAAGAGCTCGAGCCTGGCAGCATCCATTGCAGCGATCCTTTGGATCAGCGCCGTTTGCAGTGCAGGTCGTTGTCGTAAACGAATTGTCGATGTTCACTCCGAATTGTGCTGCCGCGTACATGCTGAAAGTTGATACGCAGTACACACAGCTGCAAATGGTTGAAATCCAATCTCGATCACCAGGAACCAAGAGTAGTTAGTGACTGACTGGTATGCTCTATTTGTGAGTGCGGGTAAGCAATGCCGTCACAAGATACTATGATAATCTGCAGGACAAGGCCTAGAGGCGGCTGCTGGGACCCCAGGGTGGGTAAGCAATTATCTCCACTGGAGCTCCTCTCCCTCTTAGGCTTAGTCACTATGGCTGGAAAAATGAGGAAAGTAAGTGTGATACTGTCAATGCGCACATCTCGCTAATACTGTGTTTGAAAATCAAATACACCTCTCCACGATTCTTTTGCACCAAGACAGCCGAACGTGGGAAAATTTATGTAGACTCCACTCACTGAATCCGCACGGGAGACGATTTTGATGGTTCGAGACTTGAGCACAGGCGACGGCCAGCAGAGCGCAGAGCACAATTATCCGCAGCATTTCTGGAAGACTGATTAATGACGCAAAAAAGTTATGGGGAATGAGTACCGCCAGAGAATGGAAAATTTGTCAAAGTGAATAGGAGGGACTATTGAAAACCTAGGGCAACCGAACCAAGGGATTTTCTTTGAAATTGGCATTCTTTCGAAAACGAGCAATGGGACTCGCAAGCGGGCAATTTCTGCTTAAAGTGTTTGTCCAAAGAGTTCGCCCCTCCAGAAACGGTGGAAGGGTGGTAAGACAGCTCCAAGGAGAATGTAGGGGGAGGTCATCATGGCGGGGTTCGGTAGGTGCACACTGTTAAATTTACACGATCGCAGAATAATGATAGAATAGTTCTCTGCTCTACACAAGTTGTGTGGGCACGTCAAGCTTTCTCACGCATGTCAAGTGACTGCCCTCACCCCCCAGCCCCTAGATTGGCTACATTCCCCCTGGCTCACGAATTCCCCGATTCTCGTGACAGTATATAGCGGCAGCAGTCCCACTACCACATTTCTGTTCAAAAAATGCGGCGTACCCACCCTACCTGTGCAGCACCTAATTCTCTTTGAGTGTGGACAACTGAAGGGTTCAATTAAGCTCCACGTACGCAAAGCAGAGTGAGGAGGGACGATTGAAGTAACCTACTCAAACCTGAGCTGATAAAAGTTGCACAAAGATTACTCATTCTATGACCCACTCCCAAGCTAGCAAAACTGCACTTTCAACATCAGTAGGAGTTGAACGACAAGAAGGAGATAGTCAGATTCTTCTGAGCAAGTATCAGGAATAAAAGCAACGGTTAGTAAAAAGAAAGCCACTGATAGCGACGGTAGCCGCTTTTATACGCGGAACTGTCCGATCAGTAGATCGGCGGGAAACCGCAGTACTTAGTGTTTTTGATCAGTTGTGCTCCATGAACCATACATAGTAGGACGGGTCATAACATTGTATTGACCGGTACTTTCTCTTCTTGCATCATTGTTCGGCCTAATCGTTTATCTGCATGTGTACATGACAGGTACTGGCTGCCGACGCAGAAAAGAAAAAAATCAAATAATAATAAAAAGAAATAGAAATAATAGAAATAAAATAAAAAATAAAGTAGTAAATTACAAGTAGGAAATTCTTGTTTTGTGGTCACAGGACCACTAATTCACTCCTAACTTGACTTCTGTGCAATCCGAAAATTTGACCCTTTTGCCGGCTCAGCAATGTAGTTCTGGGAATCGATGACCTTATTTATCCCGAGTCATTAAGATCTTTTCATTCAGAATTTTCTATGAATACGGCAATCCCCAGATTCAGTATGCAATAATAAATCTGAATCGTTTCCGTAACAGCACCTTAAAAGGATCGCATCTCGCCAGAGTCCGATCTATGTTGGAGCCTTGTTTTTGTTTTTGATCTGCGATGGAATTCAGATGATCGAAATGATTTTGTTATGTCGTGTAAAAAGAAAATATGAATGTATTCCTCGTTCCACTGAAATTGTTCGCCAACACATCGCATTTCGTAAACAAGGACCTTCCAAGCAGGGTGAAAATCGTGTCGAGTACGTGGTCGCAGAGGTACGACCCCCCCCCCCGAAATCGAGATCCTGGCACGACCCCCTCTAACAGAGCAAATTAATTCAATTAAAATAAATCCTGCAAAACAAATAAAAAAAAATCAAAAAAAAAAAATCTGCAAAATAATGCTAAGGACGCTTCATCTTGTCATCTATGCACGTCTTCCATCGCTGCATACTTTTGTGTACATACTGAAATATCGACTCGAGGAAAGAGGCATTAACTTTGTGTGACCTCAAGGCGAGGTTCGTTCAGAAACGCACAGAAATCCTGAAGACACGGGGTTGCGATTCAATCTTGATTCTTGCTTGAGTATATCAAAACAGCCGAGTGTATCAAAGGCCGATTCAACGGCAGCTGCGGCGCGATTGTCACTGGGTCAGATTTGCCGAAATTTCAAAAAAAAAACGTCCGAATCTACACCCTCGATGAAAAGGTTGCATTCCTCCATTTCACAACCTTTGAAGCAGCTTGAGGTAGAGTTAGATAGAGCTGGATTTCGCGTTTCCAACAAGCATCGAAATTGCTCTGGAAGCCTTCCTTGCAGAAAGATAGGGTCTGTCAAATTTCGTCGAGTAAATGTCGAGGAGGCCGAAATTTTCACGCGAGTTTTTGCCACTTCAAGAGCAATATATCTCTTATATTGTAAGATCCTGAAAAAGGGAAGATAGTTTTGGAAAGCGGAAGGTTTGCGCTTCCTGATGGTCTGTTTAGTTTTCTTCTACAGCTTTTTGGTTGAAGAGATAATTGCGTCGAGGATCTATCGAGGTCGGATCCGGCCACCTGGAAATCCGCTCCCTCATTCACCATTGCAAGTGTGACTCGTTGGCAACACTCGGAATGTGTCTAGAACAATATCTTTGAACGCAAACAATAAGAATAGGAGCAATCGTCATCATCCGATTTGGTATTGGTATAAGCCATGCATCCCTCCTCCACTCACAGTTGCAGAATCGATTGAAAGGTGTTATATGATGGGGACCTTCGAACGAAACTGTATTGTAGTAGACATAGTGTGTTGTGCTATTCCTGTAACCTAAAAAACAACTTCATTTGCCCAGCGCTTTTTCTTCACGGTTGTCGTTTTTCCGACAGGGTCCCTAACAACAGCGTCATTCTCAGCGAGGTATTAAGGGAGAAGGAGCGAGCGATAGGCAGAGGAGGTGCCTTTGCAGCGCGTGCGCACATGTGGCACTCTTCTTTGCGGGGATGCACTTTCATTCTTTGTACTGCCTTCAAATACGCCCTTCTCATGAAGGTGGAGGAATGGAGCGACTGAACCTGCAAAGAAAATTTAATATCATGTTTTTTTCGATATTTTCATTTTCTGCTGCGCTATACCCTATTACCTATCTGCACCATGATACCACTTCTGTTACTGACCCCAAGAGTACGACCCCCCATGGACCAGCCCAACAGGTACGACCCCCCTGTCGAGGATTTCCTCGACCGATATTCACCCTGCTTCAGACTGCTAGTGCGTATTCTGTATGGGAACGCCTTCAGATAGTAATCTTACAGCCCAGGGAGTTCAATTGCCAAATAGTCCTTTATGTCCTTTGTAATGCTAAACAAAGCTTTGGCTGTCCTTGCCTTCGTCAGGAGATAAGCGTCATTGCCATCACCGTCGGCCAAGGGGAGTTACGGTAATACCGTTAGCTGAAGTTGCTGCACGAACTTCTGCAACGATTTATTGTGAAAATAGCGCCCTGAAACTTGTTACGCTCTCTTGAAAAACACATTTTGACCAGCTTTTCAAATGTCGTCTTAATGATCTACTATCCGTCGAAGACCTGGTTGAGCTCGAACCGTGCACCATGTTCTCGGGGAAAATTCTTCTGAAGTCGCCGGTACAGAAGGCTGTTGTAAAGTTTTTTGATGGATTGAAATGCGCGCTTCAATGCTCAGTCGGGTGCATTTGGTTTCATTTTGAATATGCAATCAATTCCGTGCGAAAGGAGTGGAGGCGACTCTGTTCTCTTTAAGCGGACTCTTTATGTGGACCCCCCCCTCTCCCCGCGCTACTTTGTAACGCGCAAATGAGCTGCCTTATTAAGCTGCATGAAGCCTATATCCTCTACTTGTGAAATTGAAACGGATGGATGTGAGGATTCGACCTCATGCAAATGGTTACATGCTCATAGCCTACATATATCTGAGACACCTTCCCTGATTGAATAAGTTTGGGTTATCGCGCCTCCAAAATGAAAACAAATGTGACATCTGGTTCACAAGCAAGGCAAGGGTACACGCGCCGAAGCGGCCGGGCTACCCTCTGACGGGCTGACCTTTCCTCTGAGACGACGAGGAGATAGACTTCTACCAGTAGAAGCGTAGAGCGGGATGCAAACCACGCATAGACAACCAGAGAAGTGGACTTTGCGTTCGTCAAATTCATCACTGGTCAACAAATTACCACATCTCATTCTCATATGCTAGTCCAATGCCTACATATACCTAGCCAGTCGTAGAATGGGCTATGAAACGGTCACTGAATGTTAGCATACTGACTTCCGCGTTATACCGCCCTGTACTAGGGGGACGAGAAAAGGATCATATGTCCCCATAAGCCAAAATTGGATCGGGTGCCAGTGTGCTGGATGAATAATTCTGTTGTTTAGGTGCTTCAGTTTCAACCTCGATTTCTAGGGACTAAAAGGCTTGTTTGTCTGCGCAGGCCACGCACGGCTTATTTTTTCACGAGCCAGGATCTGGGTTTGAGAAATGTGTATGTATGTAACCACTTTCAGTAATCGCCCCAGTTGCGAACTGACTAGACGTATGGATCTCCATCAACTAGGACAATAAAGTTTTAGTATTATAGCTAATTTGTTATAGCAGATCACTTCACTCTCCGTAGATTACATTTAACTTAACTTCTTTAAAAAATTTTTGGAAAAAAAAAAATAAAAAAAAAAAAAAACGTAAAATTAAACGTCTACCAATCTCTCCACTGAGAGACTAAAAATCAAATCTCGCACCAATAAAAAAATTTCGGATCATATATTTTTTGCTGAAACTCTAAATTTTCTTTCTTTATTATTATTAAGTTACACATAGCAATCGAATCAATTATGAAACAGCAAGCTTCTCGAATTGAGCAAAATGAAAACATGGCACTACACGCATTGAGCTGCACCTCTATCACTATAACGTACCCTATGAACCTCCTACTCCTCAAAGTCTTCGGTCACTGAACATCGTTCAATTATTCGATTCTATGGCATAACCACGTTTTGGTCCTCTCGTTTTTGACTTGGATGTCTTCGTGTGCCATACGAGAATCTCCTTCGGATAATCCTTGTATCCAAACGGCTCAAGATCTTCTTTTCTGAATCCAAACTGCGAGAGGAAACACGATTCTGGGCCTTGCTTGTAGGTTTTTGCGCAGTTTTGGTTGAAAGAGGCACTGAAAACAATAGAAAAGCTGTTTCACTGTGTCCTTGGCTCAAAATCAAAAATACATACTCGCGAGCTCTGAATAGTTCTCTGATGTTGATCGCAAATCCAGCCATATCGGTGGCGAATGGCCTACCAGGAGCAAACATCACGTCCCATGCGATTACTTTGCCTTTGGAAGACACGTGGGGAGCTTCAACCCATGCGCCTCCCTACCAATCCTAAAATTTGATGTATTGAATACACGACAAGAATGTGCGGAGAAAAACCAATTTACTTGATAGAAATTTGCTCTGCTGAAAAAGACCATATTGAACTTAGTGTGAGGAGATCTTTCCTTCGTAACGGCAAGCCCTGGAAATATAACTCGGTCGTGTAAGGGCGCTCATAATGCGTCAAGGTAAGGAATGATGAGAAGAAAGAAAAAGAAAAAAGGTCCCCGACTCTTTAGGGCAGCCGTCTCTCCAACGCTAACAACGTCTGTCTCTGCTAAGACAGCGGAAACGCTGCTGCGAGTGTTAGAAAAGCTGTGGCTGTGCCGCGCTGATAGCCCTCGCGGGGTAGGACAATGCAATCGGCGAGGGCATATTCTTCGCTGCGAATTGCCAGTCCTCCACACTAGATGAGTTTTCCTCTCCTCAACTGTGGATTTGTCGTGAAATCCTTCTTTAATGCTACCCAAGTGAGCGAGCCTATTATCAATCTGGTGTCAAGGACTTGCAAACTCTTTAAAAGAAAACAGGCCAGAATTGTTCATAAAATTATTTTCAGGCAAAGCTTGAATAAAAGGTGCCCATATCAACAAGCCCTTACATACTCACAGTTTGATTGCGATATCAAAGAACAAATACTCTTTTGCAGTACTCTATCTCAAGGAGAGTTTTGAACGATATTTTACGGTGCTTATCTTGCACCGGCCAAAAATCTTTCATCTTTGCACCAATTCTTTGGTTTTGTTCTTTTACAGGCCAACAAAAAAGAGACAATGACAGCTGCACCCAGGCCCCAAAATTTAGATTTTCAAGATGTTTTTTACAACATGGAATTCTCCTTCAAAGTAAGCTAAATTCGCAATTGAATGACCGCATGAGGTCGGAATTCCTGTTACGCTAGGAGCGAAGGTCATTGCGGCTGTGTTCACTCACACTCCTGCTTGTAGCGTTAGCCCCACTACAGGAAAAGGAACGAAGCATTCGACACTGATTGATAATTCCTACTGGGATGCGCCGTGCAGTCCACTTCCATTCAGGATCGTAGCGGCAGCGAAGATAGCGACTTTCATTTTAGCCGCAATGACTTTCAATCTTAACGAAGAGACAGCGCATAAGATAGCTCGCTGTGGCCAGCCTGAAGTACTTGTTTACGTTTTTATTTTCCCGAGCAAGTCTCATACAGGATCACGAGGACCACAGATATAAGACTGTTTCCACGGACGACATGCGAACAGGTACAGGGTTTATACTCGCTTCGGCGATATATGCAGCCGCCACTTACTCCGACAGCCTCCGAAAATCTCTGTATGCTATACGAAGTTGCGAATGAGCTTTACAGAAGAAAAAATGGAGAGCGACTGGTTACGAACCGACCGCCCACACTCCTATCCTCATCACTTTTCGGATGTAGTCGTTGAATAGCCGAATGTCATATGTGTTGTCGTCATCGGCGAAGTACAGAACGGCGCTGCGATTCTTGTCATAGTTCTCTCTCACGTATTGCAGAGCAACATTGCGATGTGTCCAGCCTCGTCCTGTAAATGCATCAGTAACAAACAACGAACCTCACTGGAACTGCTGATTGATGGCATACTGGGCATTCCAGTGGATGATGTGGTTGCGAGGTAGATGTGTGGCACGCCACTTCGTTGGAGAATTCGCTGACAGCTGGCACTGTCGCTTCGCCATCTTCGACAACTATCCAGTGAAGTCGTGACACATGCGAAAGGGTCTGCGATAACCGAAAACGACTGGCCTTGAAAAACGCAGAACAACCAGAAAGTAAGCAATTTGCCGGTACTGCAGAAATGGTTAGACCAAGGCAGAAAAATCACCTGATCATGTCGGCGAGCCTTTCTGGTCTTTTATGTGTGGGCGTAACTACGATAATCGTAGTCAGATTTGAAGGTTCCCTCATCTGTTTGTCGGACTCCTTGCTATTTTTGTTGGAATTCAGAGGATCGATTAAGAGAACGAAGATGACAATAAGCACAACCACAAGAGCGAGACGATGCGAGGAACAAGGGTGACCCATCTCGCGCACATGCGTTCGCCTCCACTTTGATGTGGGCCAGCCACCTATCCACTTAGCGATGGTTTTTTCTGGAATGGAACAGCATGGTTACTTTGAATAGATCATGCTGAATTAAACCCGAAAATCTCGAACATCGCCTTTGAGAAAACGATACTGACAGAGCAATACATATTCATCAAAACTGGGGACGAATCCACCGATGTATACGAGGGCGACATGAGCATTAAACAAACGGACAGAATACGCCGTGCCTCTTCTTTGATAGAAAAAATGGTAGTTAGATTTTTGCGCAATGTTATTGACCTCTAAGCTTCCAGCTTCCTCACAAAGACGCCGCTGTTCCACATGGAACAATGGCACGTTGGCGAACACAACCAGTTTTTCCTTTTCTCGTGGCGCCTTCCCTCGAAAAAATAGCAAATTCCAAGTGAAACTCTACGTTTGGTTAGGAGGTAGGTCGCTCTGTTGTCCATCCAGAGCTAACAGCGACTGTTTGGATTAAACCACCATTGGAGTGGATTCGCTGAGAAAAACGAAAACTCATTTCAAGTGCACTTTTGATGAGGACCGCTGTATGCCCTACATCTCGCACATTCTGCTCACATCCTAGGCAATTTATGGATATGTGATCGTCCACCCTTGCGCCTAGGAAAGGATGTCCATACCCTAGTTCAGGACCATTTCCTTGGACCACAGCAGGCCGAAATCTGAAAGCACCTTAGGAGTACTTCCACACTACACCGGTCCTTATCAGAAGTAATTTTAAATGAATCGATTACGTGTCATGAAAACTCTTATCTTTATCTAGTATTGGAGAGCACAACTGAGTTGCCTCGCGAACTGAAGTTTCACCACAAAGCCATACACATAAACCATTGGTCGATGCCAAAATCTGAAGTCGTTGTTGAGCATTTTTATCTCTACAAATCTTCTCGATTTTGTGTTGATATTGAGAGCCTAGTGTTTGAAAATCAACACTAAATAGTGAATATGCTATAGCTACCTCTTTGAGCAAGCTGTAGCGAAATCGCTGCCACAATCGCCAATTGTTTGTGATAACCAGCCTAACACCAGCAAGGAGATGATCGTGTCGATCAAGGTGGTCTTATATCGACACCCTAATTGAGCGGGAAAAGAGGGTATATAAGGCAGCTTGGAGGCTTAACAGGAACTTCTACGAGTCGGGTCACCACCTAAT